TCATGTTCTATTATGTCATTTATTAAAACAAAATAAAAAAATCTATTTTTAAAAAAAAATCATAGTTAGTATACAATTATATTATCTATTAGAATAAAACTAAAAAAAAATTAAAGAAGGGGTAAACTGTAATGGTCATAATATTTTTTAGTTTTAATTGGGATAGTTTAGTATTTTAATTTGATCGTTTAAACGACTAAATTAAATTTTAATAGACAATATAATTGTATACTAATTACGATTTTTTAAGAAAAAATTGATTTTATTTCAACAAATGATATTATAGAACATGAATTTTAATTATAAAATTTAAAATATTTGATATTCTATCTTTGATTGAAATATTTTTGCTTTAAGTATAACATTTTAAACGTAAAGGGTCTAAGTAATACATGTTTACAAACTTCAGAGAGTCTAGGTATAATTTATTAACGGATATATTTACAACAGGAGTCTAAGTGTTACGTGCGTACAAACATTAGGGGGTCTGAGTGATTAAGTGACAAATTTCAAGAGGTCTTAGTGTTATTCTCCAAAAAAAAAAAAGAAGAAGAAGAATTAATGTTGAGAAAATAAAAACTAAAAATAAGTAAACTTTAACTAAGTACGACACGAACACAATACAAAATTAGAGGATTTAAATCTTTCTTAAGCCACCTGTTTAGTAAACGGGTGGATCGAGTATGATACGACTAATAAACGAATCAAATATAGGTGAAACTAATCAAAAAAAATATATAACACGACTCGTTTACATATAAGATATATACAGTTTATACACGACATGAATCCAATATGACACAATTTGTTAGATACAAACTAATAAATGAATTGGACATGAGTGAAGTATTTTTTGACATAAATCCGTTACGATTCAACACGAACTCGCCTCACCTGACATGATTCACAGGCTTAATCATGACCATAACCATAAGCTTTGTATCAAAATAACTACCAATCTAGTCCTACTCGAATATAGTTCAATTTATGAGCAAGAATTGTAGTTCAACCCTATTTCGAACATTAAAGAGCTAATGATAAGGTCAATTATGTTGAAAGGAAAATTAATCATATCAGAATTTTCACACGTACTTCTGTGCGGTACTGTAGTCTTATCCAAGTGGATAAAGGTGATTTGGTCAAAGTATCCCAAATGAGTGGAATCGAAGAGGGCGGTGAGGTGACTCTATTAGAGAAGCTCCAAGGCTGCTCGCCAGTTTAGCCTTTTAGCTATTTTGGCGAGCAAAACTCCAAATTTGGTGCTCCAATTTACTAGCCAGTCTCCTTGCCAAAATAGCTAGAGGTCTTCATCCTAGTCAGATTTGGAGAGGCCAATTGCTTGCCAATCTCTCTCCCTTCAGTCGCTCAACCTGTCTTCCTTCCTCTAATATCTCAATTTCTACTCCATTTTTGCACAACGACACACACAGTGAATCGGTCTTCTTTCCTCCTACAGGTATGTCTTCCTTCCTCCAATATAAGTTTTCGCTTGCCTTTTGTGAATCGGTCTTCGCTCAACCTGACTTTTTGAAATTTTTTGAGATGTGTTTCTTTTCATTGTTCACAATATATTTGATGAATTGCCTCAATGAGATATGCACTCGATTTATGTAGAATCCTGTGTTAGTTTTTTTTATTGTTACTTCGATTTGGACTTCAAGAATTTTATATCAATTCCTGTTCAAAAAAAAAAAATTAATATTGCTTGTTCTTGTTGAAATGAACCATGTTGCAGTGTAGGTAGATAAGTAGTTGTTCTTGTTGTTCTGTTGGTAGATAAATATTGTTGAAATGAACCATGTTACAAAGAATCCTTGTTCTTGTTTTTTTTTTTTGGAAGTAAACAACATGTATTGATGTACAGAAACATGTATTGGCTTCAATGGCCTCTTTACAATCAGTGCTGTAACAAAAGGTAGTAGCAAAACAAAATTAATCTAAATAGGTACTAGCATGTTTTGTGGTATTGGATCAGGCCTAGCTATTATGAATAAAACATATGGTGTTGATCTTCTTAGTATAGATTTGGCTTGAGCATGTGTGGCTCTCTGTGTGTGGGTGTCTTTGTTTTGATGGCTAAGCTTGAAGATATGTATTGGACCTTAGAATCAAGTTGAGACTGTAATGGGTATTAGTTTTTAGGCAATGGCTATCAATCATTTGTTTTTCCAAATAGCTTCGTCATTTTGATTTTTTGGTACTTTGAATTGTGCAAAAATTGCCAATATTAGTTTTAAGGCCATTTATTAGAATTGTACATCAATTAATTAGCCATTCCAACTGGCCAAAGCTCACTACCTGTTTACATATGAGAGGATGGCATATCATGATGCACTGTGCACAAGCGAGGTTTATTTTGTATGCTCGTTTTGCAGTACATTGTCACCCTATAGGTTAGTTCAATTACATGGGAAACAATGGCCAAAGGAAAACAACTGCAGTGCTGTTTTGCTCCCCCTTCCTGCTGTTTTGCTCCCTGAACTGCAGTGCTGTTTTGCTTCCCCTCCCTGCTGTTTTGCAGTGCTGTTTTGCTCCCAGAAACTTGACATAAATAATGTATATTTTTGGCTCAATTCTAAGCATTACGTATGGAACTATTTGAACATGGATATTACTTCACCAATCTTTTGAACAACGGAACAAATTTAGATGATTTTAACACTCAATCAGTAGACCAAATAGGTCATTTTTCATCAATATCACCTCAAATAGAATCTACCACCAAAAAAGTTCGAGACAACAACTTTATAGTCAATAATTGTTGGTTCATGAACGTGACCAGAGTACATACCTTTCCATATTGTTGTACAATTCTTTCATCTCCAATGCATGTAGTCAATGCTACCTAACATCCTAGGAAACCCACGTCTCTCACCGATTGCTAATAATCTAGCAATGTCTATGTTGTTTGGTGACCTGAGGTACCCACCAAAATAAATTGCTAATATGGCCGATACAAATCTTTGCAAACTTTCTATTATGGTACTTTTATCGATACTCACATAATCATCAACAACATCTGTTGCAATTCCATAGACAAACATTCCTATAGTGGTAGTCATCTTTTGAAGGGGAGATAAGCCAATATTCCCAACATCATCCCTTTTTTGGACAAAGTATGAATCATTAACTCCCACTATGGATAGAATACGAACGAAAAGAGATCGATTAATTCAAAACCTCATCTGAAATAAATTTGGGTGATATGTAGGCGATTTAGCAAAATAATCGCGATAAAGTCTCTTATACTCTTTAACTTGATTGCAAAAAATAACGGAATGACCTTGAATAAAATCACAACGTATTGCGGAGTTATCCTCAGTATTGAGTTTCTCCATTATCATAGTAGCAACTACTAAAATCTCCAACTCATCATTGAAGTCAAAATCATTAAGAATTATTTTCTATTTACCATCACGAGTCATAGCAAAGAAATATGAGTGAAATACTAGTAAAATAAATTTGAGACATATGACAATGAGAAGGGGGAGATTTTATTTATACATTTTTAAAAATATGATCGTTGTAAAATTTAAAATTTGAAAATTTGATAACATGACACGACACATCATCATGCTCCGTCATCATTATGGCGCTTATGCAATGTGACATTTTTAAATTATATTATTGAAAATTAGTTAAAGTTATTTGAAGTAGTTAGTTACAATAGAGAGCGTAGTTAGAACGAATTTTAAAAAATAGTTAGTTAAAGTAGAGAATTTAATATTTAAATATATATTTTGAGTAACTATTTTGCTGAGTGTGGTTAGAGATGCTCTTACTAAAAAAACTCACCCTTCATTCCTTATAGAATTTGACTACAGTAGGACAAAAAAAAATCGGTACCATATCTCTAGAAATTATTAATTCAAAGGGTGTTTTTATAATTTTTATGAGTTTTTTTTTATAATTAAAAGTTATAATTTTTGTGAATATTTTTATCACTGTTGTAGGTATTTTTATCACATTTGTGATAACTATTTTTACCATTTTTCTTTCATATAAAGAAAAATTATCACATTTGTGGATATATTTACCATATTTATGATTATTTTTTTTTATCACATTTATAAATATTTTTACCACTATTATGGTATATATTTTTATCATTTTTTTAAATATTACCACAGTGATAAAAATAATAACAAATATAATAAAAAATGTATGGAACCGAAAAAATAAATTTCGGGGCGGGGAGCACTCCTTCCTTAGAAAATGTAATTATGTACGTGTATGCCTTCTCTTCCCGTACCAATGGAAAAAAAAAAAAATGCATAAAAGCCAGCACATAACAGGTCCACAGTGCATGCAAAAGAAAGCTTATATTGACATTTGACAAAGTCCTGAACTATTTTGTTTTGGAGAAAGAATAATTGTTTCAATTTAGAGTTATTCGAATTTGATAAAACTATATATTTTGAAAAACTTAGGACAATCTTTCAAGTATCAAATGAAAAACTTCATTACTAGTGATCTTAATTTTTTCTTTGAGACTTCCTCGTTCCCTTTCCCTTTTGTTCGAATTCTCCAGCAATTAATTCAAAACTTGTGGGGGAGATGAAAAAATTCTCAAACCAGTTATTTAAGGTTCAATATGAGAAAAATGGTTAGATTACGTGAGACGAGGACATAGTTAAAGGGTATAAGGGTAATTTTCCCACACACACACACACACACACACATATATATATATATATATATTAAGAAAACTAGTCTCTCTCTCTCTCTCTCTCTCTCTCTCTCTCTCTCTCTCTCGGTGGAGGCTTCCCTGAAACATTTCTGCTGCTTCCAGATTGCTTGATTTCTCTTGAAATTGAGAATTCAATTTTTTATACCACTACTGTAAAAAGATTTCTGCTCGTCTTATGAGGATAGGGCTGTCCATGTGCAGAAAGAAAAACAAATTTAAGCCATGCTAAGCCTAGCAATCTTTGGTTGTGAACCCAAAAAAAAAAAACCAGAGTGGAGATAGTGATAGCATCAATAATGTAAACAATGTGATGAATCCCATAGAGAAGGACTGGTCAAAGTCAACCAATGTATATTCAAATACCATGAGAAGCCATAGAAAGGGACATACATTATTAATTTCATAGCCCTTTGAATTGGATATGAATTCCCCTATAAATTCATAAACCTTTGCCTTTCATTTCCTCACACCAGCCATAGACTAGCTCAAACAACAAAGCTCTACCCAAACACAAAGCAAAAACAATGTCTTGTACTTCAATTTCTCGTCCATTCTTCTTTACACTCTTCCTTTTATCTTTCACAGCTCAAGCCATTGCCCCTCCTTCCAAAACTTTCAAATACACCAACCAAGGTTGATTTGGGGAATACAACGTCGAGTATCGAGCTGACTACCGTGCTTTGAACATTGCTATGTTCCCCTTCACTCTTTGTTTCTATAACACTACTCCTAATGCGTTCATGTTAGGGTTACGTATGGGTCACAGACGTTCTGAATCCATCATGCGGTGGGTTTGGGACGCCAACCGTAGTAAGCTGGTGCCTGAAAATGCTACACTAACATTCGGTAGTGATGGAAACTTAGTCCTAGCAAACGTCGATGGCAAGGTGGCTTGGCAAACTGGTACAGCCAACAAGGGTGTGGTAGGATTAGACCTACTACCAAATGGCAACTTGGTATTATATGATAGTAAAGGAAAATTTGTTTGGCAAAGTTTTAACCACCCAACTGATACACTTTTGGTGGGCCAGGCCCTAAGATCTGTTGGCCCAAGCAATCTTGTTAGCAGATTGTCTGAGAAGGACCCACTTGATGGGCCTTACAGCTATGTCACGGAGTAGAGGCATTTGGCTATGTACTATATGAGCAAGGATTCAAAAAAGCCATTGCTTTACTACAAATCTGATGAGTTTGGTAATGGAAAAGGCTCTTTGGCAAACCTTGTTTTCTACTGCTCACCCGAGACCGATGAAGGCTATGCTTTTGAGCTAGGGTTTTCATTTGACATGAAGAACTCACCTAGCTCGGGAACATACATCTTGTCTAGGCCCAAATACAATAGCACTTATTCGATGCTTCGCATTGACTTGGATGGCAATCTAAGAATCTATACTTACGATGAACCAGTTGATTGGGGTGCGTGGGAGGTCACATACGTGCTCTTTGACAGAGATGAATGGCGAGAGAGCGAGTGCAAGTTGCCAAGGAGGTGTGGGTCACTTGGAGTGTGCGAAGACAATCAGTGTGTGGCGTGCCCTCGTCCTCAGGGCTTGTTAGGGTGGAGCAAGACTTGTGCACCACCAGTGCTACCACCATGCAAGGGAGGAGCCAATAATGTGGACTATTACAAAGTTGTGGGTGTTGAGCATTTCACAAGTGCATATACAGAAGGAAATGGGCCAATGAAGATGGTTGAGTGTAGAGAAAAGTGTAATAAGGACTGTGAGTGCTTGGGCTTCTTTTACAAAGAAGAGTCTTCAATGTGCTTGCTGGTTCCTGAACTAGGAACTTTGGTAAAAGTGTCTACCCTCTCTCATGTTGGCTACATCAAGATGGCTCACTAGATCTTGATCTTTCATGTTCTGGAAAGATTTGATAGTTTGTGATCAATTGTAATGAATAATAAAAATAAAGATGAGGTTTGGCTTGTTCAAATTCATTCTAATGATTATAATGATAAATAATGAGGCATGGACCCTTTTTTTTTAATAATGAAGTTTCTTGTGGATAGGCTAACTAAAGTTTTTTTTTAATCTTCCTAGTGTATGCAAGTGGAATAGAGAATTCCTAGTTGTAGGGTGGATGACCTGTCTTTAACCGGACCGGAGAGGGAATTAATCGAGATACACGTAATCTGGTTTCGTTAAGCCAAAAACAAAAGAGTGGAATAGGGTATTTGAGTGGGGTGGATGACCTGTCCAAGAGCTCAAAACTTTAGACTTATAAGCACAATGTCACCCTAATCTCTTGTGATGTGCCATTAATTCAATCAATTTTAGCTACGATTGGTGCAACATATACCTAAGTTGGAATAATATTACAATTACTTTACACTGTGTTTAGAGAAAAATGTATCACAAGAGAAATCGGGAGACTAAGAGATACAATACCAAACTCTGTCTTTGACAAGGATTGATGATGACCTTCCATTTAAGAAAGTCAAGGTTGCCAACATAGACAAGGCTGATAGAGATACAAACGATTGAGGGGAGTTACAAAATAGGACGTACATGAATTTATTTCAATTGAGGGATTTCCAATCCTCTTATTTTAGATTTTTGTTGATTTTCCTCAAGTTTAATGCTCAATCATCAAAATTATTTATTCCGGCCCATTCCCCCTCCCCCTCCCCAAAAAAAAAAAAAAATTATTCTAGCCCATTATGTTTTAGTGGGATCGACAAACTTCAAAAACGGTAAGATTATGATCTTGAATTAGGTATTTATGTTTAAGTTCATTGTGTCGTCTGTGTATTGAAAATGGGTACATAAAACTTGTTATATGAGTGGTAAAAACACCCAAAAAAATTAATAATTCAAGTGAATCAGAGCCTGTGACCTCAAAAAAAAAAAAAGAAGTAAATCATACCCTTTAGCAAATTATTTTAATTGTGGTGATTACGAATGAATTGGCTTAAAACTTTCAACACCAACCACTTTGAATATGGGGGGCCTCTACTAGTAGCTAGAGAGGTGCACTAAGAGACAATTGGAGAAGAGTGTGGGGGGCCTTTCACGTGAAATGCCAAGTCTTCTGGTTTAGAAATTAAAGCATTGTAATAAAGTGTGTTTGTCACTCATATATGAAACAAAGCGTCCGGGTTCACCGAAACTACTTTCCATGTCAATGAGTTGGTTTGTGATATAAAAAACAATGAAAGTTAATGGAATGATCACATTACAACACTATTAATACATTGAAGATGTAATATTTGAAGGTGAAAAATGAAAATCTTGAAATCTTTTAGGGTGTAAAATGCAAAAAATCCAAAGTTAAATCCAAAGGTTTTAGGTTTTCATTAATAGCTTGTTTCATAAGCTCCTTGTGTACTACGTACACGGTTTACATCCACATATCATGAACACACCAAGAATCTTCGATCGTCGATGCCACGAACCTTCCTCCTCCAATGGAAATAGAGGAGGAGACCAACTAATAATCTCTCACTTAAAAGTGATCAAGTCCTTCTATGAATTTATCATAGTCTGATTCAATCATGGATGCATCATAGAATGTGGTATGACATCGTTGTACCAAATTTGTACATCATATAGATTGTGTAGAGTCGATTTTGTATCACTTGTAATCAACTTTTTGTTGACTCCTTTGTTACGTGAGTTTAGTGGGTTGCTTCGATTGTGGTCTAAACCTACTAACACAAAATTCAAACTCAATAATTTTATTTTCGATTGAACGAAAATCATGTTAAGAACTATCAATCCAAATCGAAACTTAAGTTATAATTTTTGATGGTATTACTATATTAAGCTAAACTTTAACCCCTCAAATTCGGTATAATTGCATAGGATTGAACTCCATACACGATGATACCATCATGATAAGTCCGATCAGTAGGTCCCATCACTAATTCAAAGGCTACAGATGATTTAATGCATATTTTGATACACATAATTTTATCCTATCAAATAACACTAGTGTTGATTCTCTTCTCATCTAATTCCATATAATATTCCTCAACTAAGACACAAAGCATCACGAAGTGGATATTTTCACTATTATTTTGAATGACTAATCATTTGCCAACCTGCCATGAATGTGACTTTTTTGGTGAGCAAATGGGATGAATAAAACTTATTTAAATTTTTTGATTATTTGATAAAAAAAACATGCTACTTACCCAATGTATGCAATCATCGAAAGCTACAATTCTATATTTTTGTGAACATGCAGTGTGGTGAATAATTACGAACAATAACGCGAGATTTATGTGGTTCGGCAGAAAATTTACTTATGTAAACGGAAGTCATTGTTTCATTATATAAAAATTCCAATAAGGTTACAACGTATTAAGAGACACTAGTCAATAATCCTAATCCGCTTCGTTGTGTTGCGCTCCATTTCACTNATATAAAAATTCCAATAAGGTTACAACGTATTTAGAGACACTAGTCAATAATCCTAATCCGCTTCGTTGTGTTGCGCTCCATTTCACTCCACCCACTGACCCATTATTTTTTGATCTTAGTGAATGAGTCGTCTATTGATATTACAAAGTTTTTAGCAATGCAAACTGTGATTGATATAGGAAAAGAACGGATGAAGGCGATCGCCCCTGATGATGTGTGAACTCGAAACACAAGGATATGCTTGAACCGAAGAGCTCATGACTTAGGAACAGTAGATGGTAAATGAACCCTAAGATAAGATCAATTTTGATGACTGGGCCTGCTGGCTCTGTGATGTGCAACATTAATCAATAAACAGGTGTAAGAGCTGGAAAATAAGTAAGAACAGAAAGTATATTGGTTCACCACCAGCTAAAAAACATGACTAGTCTACTCTGATGAAGTCTCTTACTCCTTTAGAATTTTTTTATTACTTGGAGAAGAAGATAGAGTTACAATTCTCTCGATGCCTTTACTGGGTGAATGCCCTTGTATTTATACACTTAGGTGGGTGGTCCTCACGTCATCATCATTTGGCCTCCTAATTTGTTAGGATTTTGTTGAGGAAATATTGGGTCGTTAAAGGCTATATTTCTTAAGTGTGACATAACTTTCTAGAATATGGTGACATTNTAGAGAAGAAGATAGAGTTACAATTCTCTCGATGTCTTTACTGGGTGAATGCCCTTGTATTTATACACTTAGGTGGGTGGTCCTCACGTCATCATCATATGGCCTCCTAATTTGTTAGGATTTTGTTGAGGAAATATTGGATCGTTAAAGGCTATATTTCTTAAGTGTGACATAACTTTCTAGAATATGGTGACATTGTGGCCTATCTTCAAGTTTGAATACGCTGTGGTCTTGTAGATCTATGAAATATCATGTTGGGAGATCGTTCTGTTTCAGGATGACCTCCTATACTTTTAGCCAACTCACGATTAAAGAAACTTGCTCAGACACCTGACCTGAGTTGGAGTTGTCACTTCTTCTCAGGGTATAGCGATTATGACCTTAGNCCTACTCAGACGCCTGACCTGAGTTGGAGTTGTCACTTCTTCTCAGGGTATAGCGATTATGACCTTAGTACATGCACCTGAGATCATATTGGGCGATTTGGATTCCTTTGGTTGAAGATGTATGAAGAAAACTTAAACATTTTCACCTAAGATTGAGTTTACAGCACTGAAGTCGGGAAACAGACCTAGTCCATTGACTCTTTCCACAAACCAGCTACTGAAGTATTCTTTTATTTATCCATGATGCCATCCTTGGGTATCATCCCACCCCAATTCCCCACACCCTCCAAAGCTTCGAAATATCTTTTATATTTAATACTAATTAATAATTATGAATATCTCAAATTATGTAGTTTTGCTCTCAAACTTCCAAAATTTGAAATCTACTTCATATTTTACCTCTAAATAAAAATAAAAAAAATTAATGTGCTAGCAATATAATATTCAATTTTATCTAAGTTCAACTCAACAAAATAGTGTCTTCAATAATTAAAGTAACCACTAGACTGGTGGGTCCGTGGTTTGAAGTGTCCCGTTTACTATCCTCTTCGACTCCCATGAGATTTGAAAGTAGAATTCGATTCAGGGGAACTCTTAATACTTCTATTGACAGCTTTGTAGTACAGATATTAGGCTATGCCCCGAGTCGACTTTTAGGAACATATGCGATTTTCCACCGTCTAGGCTTCATTGGTGGACTTCCCTCATAGATTTGGGATGCTATATATAGTCACACCCAAGCAGTGGTTCCTGAACACTTTTTTCACATTAAAAAAAAAACTAATGAAAATAGCCTATATGAATCTTGTTCCGTTATGATACTCACAGTGTGATATTTTGTATGAAATGAAAAAAAAAACAAAAACAAAAGAACAAAAGTGATGAAGGGCTCAAACCTTTGTCTCTTGTGATCCATGCTAGACATAGTATAAGCAACAAAAAACGAAGAAAAAGGACCGTTTGGTTTGGTCCATTAAGGCAAGAAGCTCTCCTTTTTAAAACACTTTAATTGGTGACTTCAAGCCTAATACACCCCAAAATTAGGGTCCAACGGAGGAAACACCAAACTTTAAGAGGAAAGCAGGTACACAATAATAACCATTAAAAAAGTAAAATGAAAATGACTAGACAACNAGTAGGGTCCAACGGAGGAAACATCATACTTTAAGAGGAAAGCAGGTACACAATAATAACCATTAAAAAAGTAAAATGAAAATGACTAGACAACCAAAAAATTGAGCAAAAATGTTGAACATTTGACAAGTTTTAGGGCATCTTACAGAGAATTTATGTTTATGGGGGGTCAAAGTTTAAGCACAAAAAACTAAGACTATTTATATTTTATGGATTGAAATTTTCAATCCACAAAGTTATGTCTAATGAAGAAATAATTTTCGAAGCTATTCCATTTTTTTATTTGAACGGACTAGGGAAAGAATAAGTATTAAATTATAATTTTGTTACTTGCTTTAATTTGAATACTTAATTTGGGAATGTATCACATCGTGACCANCGTGCAGAGAATTTATGTTCATGGGGGGTCAAAGTTTAAGCACAAAAAACTAAGACTATTTATATTTTATGGATTGAAATTTTCAATCCACAAAGTTATGTCTAATGAAGAAATAATTTTCGAAGCTATTCCATTTTTTTATTTGAACGGACTAAGGAAAGAATAAGTATTAAATTATAATTTTGTTACTTGCTTTAATTTGAATACTTAATTTGGGAATGTATCACATCGTGACCATTTACTACATATCCAATACTAAATTTTATTGCTAATCTAATGGCCATAGTACATTAGATTCTAATGTTTTCTGACCTAAATCCCAACAATGTAGCAAATAAGGTATTTACATTCTAAAAGTAAAGGGCTCTGTGTGGAAAATTGAATGAAATTAAGAAAATTCAAAGTAAAAGTGTTAGTGTAACAAGGTAATGTTTTACTAAAAGGAATTCAATTGTGACCGAAGCAGTTTATATGTACGGAGGAGGGCAATCAATGAACAACTNTGAATTTTATTGCTAATCTAATGGCCCTAGTATATTAGATTCTAATGTTTTCTGACCTAAATCCCAACAATGTAGCAAATAAGGTATTTACATTCTAAAAGTAAAGGGCTCTGTTTGGAAAATTGAATGAAATTAAGAAAATTCAAAGTAAAAGTGTTAGTGTAACAAGGTAATGTTTTAGTAAAAGGAATTCAATTGTGACCGAAGCAGTTTATATGTACGGAGGAGGGCAATCAATGAACAACTATTTGTTTGCATGCTTAAGATATATACAGGTGATTGACAAAAGTGCAAGGGGGGCATCATGGCATTGGGTCCCCATGAGTCGGTGAAAAATTTACTTATATTTATCAAATTCTTGTAAATTTCATTACGGTGTTTTACCATTTTAGGGCATTTATAAAAAAATATATTGGAACAGATCTAAAAAACCTGGCTAAAAAAAAAAAAAAAAAAAAAAAAAAAAAAA